TCTTGCTCTCCTTTTGTTTACTGTTTCCATCTGTCTATCTTTTATTCTCTCTCTCTGCACACAGTCTGGAGTGAGGCAGTAAAATTAGAATGGCTAAATCCATACCCAGAAGGCTTTAAAAATAAAAAGGAGGGCTGGGAATGTAACTCAGCCGCAGAATGATTTCCAACTATACGCAAGGCCCTGATTTCAGTCCATCACACTGAAAAAAAAAAAAAAAATGAGGAAATTAAATATTTCCAGAGGCTGAAGTAGGAAAATCACAAGTTTGAACCCAGCCTGAGCAATTTAGCAAGACCCTGTCTCTAAATTTAAAATAAATAAATAAATAAACAGGAAGGTCTTGGGATTTAGCTCATTGCAAAGGCTCTGGGCTCAACCCCCAGTATCACAAATAAACAACAAGATGAAAAGGTTAACTTAGGGAAAGCGCTCAGCAGACGCAATGTAGGTGCTCAATAAAGGAGAATTTAGTCTTCCTTTCCTGTTCACAGAGGGAAATCATTGAAGGACGGTCAGCCAAGAAGAGATGTTATAAGTGCTATGGTAAATTCTTTCCTTGCTGGAATTAACTTGGTGAGAAAGGAAAGTCACATATAAAATCTTTTGTGATTCTTTTGGAGCTTGAATTTTATTTCTCCCAATCATCTCTGCAGGTTTCTGAAGTAAGCAGTAGACAAAACAATACCTCTCCCTCCTGAGATCTCCTCACAACTGAGAGAGTTTCATTTAATAATGGATTATAGTGTTGCTCAGATTTCTGGCATGAGATTAGGAATTCCTTTGAAGAAAAGACCATAGACATTAGCAGAACATCTTATTAGACCAAGATGCTCTGCACAAACTAAGTAGTAATTTGTTCAGCCAACAATTAATGAAGTACCACTCAGAGCTGGTTATGTAATGAACAAATACTTTATCTTCCTGTCTGGATAACTTTTAGAGTCTATATGAACAAAGTGGTTTTTCTATAAGTACATCCTCTAGTTGAAAAATAACAAATTGTTTGCCAAATACTCACAGGCAACCACATGTAGCACTAACTCTGAAGACCTCATAGGGCACCTCTGAATGTTAAACTTTCCTTTTCAGAAACAAAGGCCATTCTACAGCTAGTGAAGGGCCAAGAAATAGATTCCTACCACCATATCAATATGAAGGCTCACTGGTACCCTTTCATCCTGAGCAGGCTTTGGAGTTAGATGCTTCTGAGTTCAGATTTCTTTACTACATCTGTGGCTTTAGGAAAGTTATTTAACTTTTCTAAGATGCATTTTTCTCATCTGTCAAATGGTAATTATAATATAGTGATACCTCGGTTTATGAACTTAATTTGTTTTATGGTTTAGGGGAATGTGGCTCCTTCATATTTGCGTGGGGAAGATGGACATGGTCTTGTTTGTCACCTGATGTGGAGCTTGCAAATGGAAGAAAAATTTTGCCGAATGCTTTTGTTTGAGAACCAAATTACTCACAAACAGAAGCGTTCACGAACCGAGGTATTACTGTTTCTTACTTCATAGAGTTAAGAATTATATGAAATAATGCACCACATTTACTTAGTTCATAAGAGTGCTCAATTCTACAGGGAGTATCTAACAGTGATTACTACTGTGCAAGTATGACCAAGCTGCTGTCACTGGGGCTACTTGCCCAGGGCCATTTTGTTTTACTCTTGTTTTTAGTGAGTTGAGCAATATGAAACTGCATTCCTGAAAAATCTCAAACACAAAGAATCCTTTGAGTTTCACCACCACAATATTGTGAAGTCCATAATTCTCATGCATTAGAGTCTCACCAGTCAAAGGCCTTCCAGAACTTTGGGATCTAATCCATCACCGCCAATGGTGTGATCACCTTGTCTGGACACAGGGTCTTCAAACTGATGGCCTCTGATTCACCTCAAAGGTGTTACAGCTAGTCAGCTACCAGCAGGTGGAAGTCTTCCCTTCTAATGTTTGTTCATGCTCAGAAATAGGCCATATCCTGGGCCTTCATGACTCTGAAGCCTTCAGAGACTACCTCAGTTTTCCTTAGCAAAAACAGTGGCCATTCATCTTCCCTTATGAGAGAGAAAGGCCGTTCTCCACTTACAGAATGTCTAAGAGAGACATTCCTGCTACTGTGTCAGGATGGGCTCACTCTGTTGCCCTCTGACCTCCAGCAGACTCAATGTCTCTTTTCTGATCACTAAAGCAGATTGACTCACACTCCTCTGGTGTCTCTCCTAACCTCCTCAGTTCTCTGTAAGCTTACTATTTATTTTCCATAAGTTTTCATCCACATAATTAGTAGCCTATTCACATGCTCTTCACTGTACTTAAGATATTAGTCCTCTCCATAGATTGCTGAGTGCTGCTCAGGAGCTGCTGGTGACAGTGAACTAATTCATGCTTTTAGCCACCTAACCACAGTGTTTGACCAACTGATGTAGCCTTTCAAAGACACAGTAGGAAATTTTGCTTGGTAATGGGAGCAGAGTGGGAAAAGCTGCCTGCTCAGGATATTCTGGACATAACACAACATATATGGAGGACAGTTATAGGAACAAAACAACCTCTAGGTCACACAATCTTTTTCTTTTTTTTTTTTTTTTTTTTTTTTTTTTGGTACTAGGAATTGAACTCAGGACCTTGAACTTTCCAAGCAGGCTCTGTGCCACTAAACTATATCACCAGCCCCAAACACTGTTCTAGTGTAACAGGATTTATTTTTTGCTTGTTTGCTTCTTTTTATTTCTTAACACATATCCCTGATTATTGTAGAAGCAAATTTAAAAATTAAAAAATATATTTCAGAAATATACTAATATCTATGAATAATACTATAAAATGTATTCTCCTAGTATTTTTTTGTTTTTGTTTTTGTTTTTGTTTTTCTCCGGTACCGGGAACCGAACTCACGACCTTGTGCTTGCCAGGCAGGCGCTTTTGCCGCTGAGCTACATCCCCAGGCCCTTCTCCTAGTATTTTTTAATGAACATATTTGTTTTATAAAAATGGTATTGTGGTGAATGTGCTGATTTGTAACCTGTTTTTACCTAACATGTTATGAATACTCCCGACAAATATTTCTCTGTGGTATGATCTTAACGAATAATCCCTTTTATGTGTGCACAGCAATCATTAAACTTGCTCTGAAACCACAATATTTAGAGTTCCCAGATTTTCAGTGTTGTAGATATAGTTTGATGAGCAATGTTATAGATAAATGTTTGCTTTTAGCCAAGTGTCTTCTGTCACAATAAATTCCTAGATATTATATTGACTGGGTGAATGGCTATGTGCGAACTTTTACTCAGGTAGATAGAGCTGCTACCAACATTCCTTATAGGGCTCCTATTTGTCTCCCAGGAATGAATTTTCTGGGTCTTAAATATATGACAATACAGTATGTCCCAGTTTTCCCTGGTCCCACCCATTAACACCTGCTGATCTGAGACCACACTTGCTAATGCCCCTTCTTTATTCTAAAAAAGTCTTGACTTAGGCTCTATATAGTCATCCTAATTATGGAATAGAGAGCTGCATGCCTTTAGGAAATAATGCAAAGCGGTATCCTAAAGTTTCTGCACCAACTCAGACTCCCCTAGTAATGTCTCAGTGATACTGTGGCTCTGCATCCCCTCTGATCACTGGTATTGCCAGATTTCTTCATTGCGGATCAGTGGGATGTCTATAAAGTGATGCTTTATTATAAGCACACATTTCTTGATCACTCTTAATGCTAAGTGTCATTTCACATTTTGGTTAGGCATATTTATTTCCTCTGTTGTATAAAAGAGAAAATATGGCATGAGGAATATGATATTCAGGTTACTTCAGATAAAAGGGAAGCAGAAATGAAATGTAAAGAACAGATGGTTAGATGTCAATTGTCATGAAGATTTGAGCATTTGTTTGGATGGTGTCTTACTTACTTTTTCTCGCTGCTGAGGCCCAAGTTAAAAGGTGGAAGGGTTTATTTGGCTTACAGTTTGTAGAGGTTTTGATCTGTAATCATCTAGGTCCAAGGCGGTGGGGTATGGCAGACAGGCATTGTAGAATAGAAACAGTTCATGGTAGGCAGGAGGTAGCAAAGCAAGTGAAAAGTGATGAGACAAGCCTCTTTCTGTTATACTGTATTCAGGCTACTAGGATCAGGGTGATGTCAAACCAATCAACGGACTGATTTAGTAATCACCCACACTTTATCCTGGCACCCTTAATCCTAGCACCTTTAATCCTAGCATTGCACCATGAATCAATTACACACTCTAGATTCAGCTGCTTCTGCAAAAACCCTACCTATGATTGTGTGAGGCTTTGGGGGACATCTAGACACGAGCCATAACCGGTGGTGTATTCTAAGATTTTATCACAATCTAATAAACATGCAGGCAAATAAATGCAGGCCATGTGTGTGTGATGAATGAAGATGATGATTAATTCACTTCTATGTCCCAGAAATTCGATGAGGAGAAGGGATGATATAAACATCTGGGAGTTATTCATAGACTTCACTAAATATGGCCTTAGCAAAGAACAAATACTTCACTTTCTCACCCAAGTGTATGAAAGCGACTATCTTTGTGTTCTAAATTGTTCTATAAATGCAAAGTAATTCGATTGGATCCACCTGGCCAGAGGGGCAGCAAGGCATTTGGTGGACCGTTACCAAGCTCAGCCTGCCCAAGGCCGGGCCACTCTGGGGTGGTGTCGGGAGATGGGATACGAAGCAGGAGGGGTGGAAACATCTGGAACGCCTCTGCCACCGTTGCATGCGATGACTCCCACACGTGAAGAAGGCCACATGTTCTCCAGCTGTTCCATGTTTACTCAGCCACAGCCCTCTTTTCAGTACCATGTTCTCAAAATCTATTTCCAATGCGATTTTTAAAACTACCCGTTCTCCACCACTATCGCCATGAATGGTAACAAATACTGTCGAGTTTTTGTTTAGGATGCCACAAGCGTCGGTTATACGAATAAGAATAGCTCCTCAACCCTCAGATGCAGTAATATTTCTTTATTTTCAAACATTAGATAAGCACATGTAATTAGGCCACCGCTCCCATCATGGGAAATAGCATTCAATAACATTTAAGGTCCCCTTCTTCCTCTCAAAGATGATGTGAGAACAGAGAGGTCCAAAGAGAGCATAGCATATACCGTACGGGAAGATTCAGTTCACCACTGAAACTTCCATGGTTCAGGCCCTGGGGTCCATTTGAATGCAGCGGTCTCTGTACTCTCTGTGGTAAGCTGGGGCTGGTGAGATTTCCGAGACTCTCCACGTAGAGGCTGACAATGGTGCTCCACCAACGATGTGATAATCACCCCTGAGCCTCATCGGACCAGAGCAAGGTCCCCCCATACACTCAAAAGTAAACATAAAACCATCTACCTTTCCCACCTTGAAGTCGGGAAGCCCCACTCTCTTTCCCACCCTGCAGCCCTCGGGGATCCTTCCTGTTGGGCTAATCCTTCAGCGTGCTTCAGTTCACAGTTTTCGTAAGTAAAGGCCTGTTTACTTGAGCAGGAAGGAGAAATAGAAAATGGTTCTTAAATGTTGCAGCGTCTTCTAGAATAGTGAGGACAAAGTAAACAAAATCTAAAACCAAACAAGGAAACCAAATCCCAGAGGCATTAGACCTTGTCCTGTTGATTCTGCCCTGAAAATGTGTGAAAGGTCTCTCCCACTCTTTCCTGGCCCTGTGTCGTCTTCCGCAGTTCAAACCACCGTCACCCTTACGTGGTCAGTTAATATCCCCTTAAACAAACCTCCGGAGACGACACTTGCTCACTTCTGACAGAGTCTCCTCAGAGCAGCCAGTGGAAGATTTTTAAAACACAAACCAAACCCTGGAGAGTTAGAAACAGAATGATAAAATTTAGAGTCCACATCAAGGACGGCAAAACCTACAAGCCTCCCGTAGTCACTCCCTCTGACTGTTGTCTAGGTTCTTGACACAACCGACATTTGTTTTTAAACTCCCGGCAGCTCTTTTTAACCTCAGCCTTAGTCCGTCTTTGTGGCCGAAATCTTCCTTTCCTAGCTCCTTCCCTTCCATGCCTCGTGTGTTAGGCAAATGTTACCTCCTCAGAGAAGGCTTTCATTGTGGCCACTCCCAAAATGAGCGACCCTGTTCTAGTTTCTCATTTGCCCTCTGTTGTCCTTGACATTATCACAATTTGTCACTATCTACGTGCTGGTGTGATTTTTATTCAATATCTGTTTCTCCCGCTGATGACGCATCACCAATGCCTAACCAATAGTAGATACTCAAAAAATGAATAAATGATGAAAGATACAGAACTTTGAACAGTGTGAGGTCTCTTTAAGCAGATATACACAACAGACACAATGACTGAAGAGCCCTAACCTTTTCTAGTTCCCGTCTCAGACCCGGGATATCTAGAGACCCACTCACTACCAAAGTGTTTCTGTTTCCTATTATTTTGACGGCCATACTTGAAAGCAATTCAATCCATGTGTAAGGATTCCATAAAACATCTAAAGTGAGACAAAGGAAAAATGTCTTGGTTGTATGTGTGCTATTCTCTGTGCCTTTAAAAAAAGGTCCATCCTAAGTGTTATATTTCTTGATGCTCTGGATTCTTCTGTAAGTCCTGCTCTATGTTCACAAGCCCCTCCACCACCGCCCTCGCCAGCACCCTCGCACTCAACTCTCCATTTCAGAACTGAAAGGAACATGCAAGATCCCCTAACCCTTATAGATGACAGATATTAAAAGATTTACCCAAAGCTTCTTAGCTATGATCACACAATGGAAGAGAAATAAAAAAACAAGATGCGTTTGAAGCTAGGGATGGTGACACACACCTGTAATCCCAGCACCATAGGAGGCTGAAGCAGGAGAATCGTATCAAGTCTGGCCTGGGCAACTTAGTGAGCTGGCAAAAGCTTGTCTCAAAATGTAAAAGTGAAAAAGCAAGGGCTAGGGGTGTATCTCAGTGTAAAGGTCCTGAGTTCAACCTTAGTACCAAAAATAAAACAAAACACTTTGAAAATTGTGGTTCTAATAATATACACTGGCTCCCAATTTTCCCATTTAAAAAAGAAGCGGGAAACATTTCACATCGGGGAGTGTTCTAATTTTCCAAGAAAGTTTTATTTTAATTAAATGCTACTATCAAGCTAAAGAAAGAAGGAAGTAAAATCTAAAAGGATTTTTTAAATCAAGTGATTCTGTATAGGAAAATCTTTGCATGTTCTAGGCTTGCTTACGTTTCTTTTTCCTACTGCTTTCTGTAATCAAGTAAAATTAGGTTAAAATGATCTGAATCACAACTCTCCAAGAGGCTATTAAGATATTCATTTGAAATATTCATCGTCTCTTTAATGTAAACAATTCCAGGCTCTGATTTGTTGCATTATCAATATATAGCATCAATTCCAAAGCATGTAACACTTCCTATTATGTGAAGGAGGATTTCTTGGACTTCCTGAGGACCAGGAAGGTGAGCGCAGATTTTGGAGTCAGGCTTCGGGGACAGGAACTCCATTATGGTGGAAGAAGCCAACACAGACAAAAAGTTATGCTCACAGGCCAGTGATATAGTTCAGTGGCATAGGGCCTGCCTGGCAAGCACAAGGTCCTGAGTTCAATTCCCAGTACCAAAAAAAAAAAAGGTGTGCTCACATCCACAATGGTGTCAGCATAATTTGCATATGGCTCTCTATAAGCAGAAAGATAACAGACTTCTCCGAATTTGGGTCAAAATCAAGGACCTGAAATTGTCAGTATGACTCAGTGACAAAGTGCTTGCCTGGCATAAGCAAGGACCTGGTTTTTCTCTCCAGCACTAGAAAACATTATGCTGAGTTTTCTTTTCTATTGCTGGACTCTACCCCTGTTTATCTTAAGGACTCTCCAGTTTCTTTATAGACATCTATTGTACCAGAGCATTTTAAAGTGCCTGCTAAATTTGAGTTTAAAATTAAAATTTCATGAGATTCTTATTCTTTCAAAGGTCCACTTAACCTACTTTTATGGAGATTTTATATATATATATATATTATAAATTACAAGTTGATTAGGATACAGAATCTGATTTAAATGAGCATAAAAAGGGAGACGGACAGAATCAAGTTCTAAAAGGAAGGTAATTAAATTAATCTAGACAGAGAATCAAGGAAGAATTTCAAGTAGACATAACAATTAGGATGAAAAGAAGAACCAGCTGGCACACCAAAGCATTTCTATGACCTAGAAGTAAAGAAATTTAGGTGTAGAAGTAGCGTTAGAAAATATTAAGTCTAATGACCTCATTTTAAAAATAAACAATACTCGTTAAACATGGCTTATGGTGTCAAATTGAGGGGCCAGAACAGAGCAGACACTTTAATGTTATTCCCTCTACTACTACTGGCTACATAATTTACAGGACTAGAGCAAAATAGAATATAAGAACTTTTGTTAAAAGATTATTAATAATTTCAAGATACCAACCGCAGAATATTAATGAAGCAGGACCTTCCTGAGCACAGGGCCTATGTAAGCAACATGAAGTTCTCAGGCCTCCCTCCTTCCTCTTAGCTAGCCCTTAGAGGTAAGTAGAGGCAAAAGCTAAACAAGAACTCAAGTCTCTTCATGTCTTCTACTACCCAGAAATAGAACAAAACAAGCAGCAGTAATTGTCAATGTCTATAGCATGTATAAAAGTACATGTTCCTGTCTTTTTTCTGCATGGAACTGCCTGCTTCTTTTTTAATTTTTTTTTTTTTTTTGGTACCAGGAATTGAACTCAGAACCTTGCACTTGCCAAGCAGGCATTGTGCTGCTGAGCGGTGTAATCATTTTTTTATAAAGTGCAAGATTGAATTCGGTCAGTTGTTCAAAGAGTTAAGTTACCCAGGCCTTCAGCAATGGAGTAGGTCATGAATCTCACTTTTCTCCTTTTCATTTTTGCATATTGCTTAAAAATCTATTTATAATGTATTTTTTCAAAAGTTACTTCAATAAGAATAAGCCCTACAGGAAGGCAGGCTTCTATTAAGGCTACTGGTATAATCAGCTTCTTTTTCACATACGTGGACAAAGACCTCTCAAAATTAAAAACTCATAAATAGTGCCTTCACCTAAGTTTATCTTCTTAATTGAGGGGATGTGAGCATCTTATATTTATTCATGTGTGTTAGGAAATTTGTGGTTTTACTTACTCACGTAATAAATATTAATCAGTGTGTCTCAGAGCCTAGGACAAGACAGATTCACAGGAGAGCAAGTGATCCAAAGAGTGAGTGACTAATGGAATATTATTCAGCCAGTAAAAGGAAATGCACTTTACAACATAGATATACTTTGAAAATATTATACTAGAAGCAGGCACAAAACATGATGTGTGTTATGACTTTTCTTACATGAAATTTTCAGAATGCACAAGTCCAACAGAGACACAAAGTGCCTGAGTAAAGGTTGAGACGGCAGGGGTGGATGGTGGGAGAGTACAATGAATGACTGCTAACAGGTATATGTTTGTGGCTTTAGAGTCATGAAAATGTTCTGGAATAAGATAGTGATGATAGTTACACAGTTTTTATGAAAATCATGAAAGCCACTGAATTGTACATTTTTAAAGTGTATAAAGTAAGTGAATCAAGTAAGTAAATCAAGATTGAGAAATTTAAGTCACTTGCTAAAAATCAAATTGCTGGTTAAATATGAGGCTGAGCTTGACACCAAAACGTTTGACTCCTTGTGGTGTTTTCTTTCCAGTCTGACCAGCTGTGAGCCAGGAATTTAGAGAGTGCCACCAAACCCAAGGCTCAACTGCACGGCATACTTATATTTTAAAGAACCACTTGGACCAAAGTGTAAATCCTGCGGTAGCTGCATTCCAGCTCCTGAGGCTATGGCCTGTAAAGGGTTTAGTAGGAAGCAAAGGAGAGAAATCACAGGGACAACAATGCCGCAGGAGGTTCTTGCTGTCGCTGGCACCCTAGACACCACCCAAGTACCTTCAGGCCCAGGTACTCCTTGAGAATCCAAAATAACTAGGAACCCCTATTGCACGCTGCAGTAGTCTCTGGGATCTTAGAACATTTATTTTCTCTTTTCTCATCTAATTTATTTCCAGGCTAGCACAGAACAAGATGACTCATAAACGCTTATGCAATGCTGGTATTTGTCCTTCAAGACAGCATTAGGTCTCTTAATTTGACAAATAGTGAAATAACCATCACAGCTTGTCCTTGCTTGTGGGTATGTGAAGGTTTTCTGAGGTTTCTTTTAATTTTTTTCCTAATGTATTTTTCTGTGACAGCAGAGTGAGGCAAACGTCATGTGCTACCTCCCTTTTTATGGCAAGGAAATAAGCATGGTGGTCCATCTTCTAACTCCTGGTTTCTTACCCTCTTCTCCCCTTGCAGAGGAATCAAGCCTTCTTTCTTGCTCTTCATTTCTTTGCCCAAGGTTCGCAGTAGAGAATTTGGGGCATGAGAGATGGAGACACAGGTTTTTTGTCCTCCCAGAAAAGCTAAATGTTATGGTTCTGCTCCCAAAGGATAGGTTATTGATAGCTAAATGTCAGCATGACACTGGAAAAAGAGAGGGAGAGTAGAAATATAAAGTAAAGCAGTTAAGAAATATCAGGTAGTAACAAGGAAGTCAAACGCTGAACTCTAAATGGTGGGAGGGTTGGGTTTTTCACACCCTCTTGGCCCAAGACAAAAAGCACAAGTACCGTCTCTACGTTCATAGTCTAGATAGCCCAGTGCTCTTGTTAAAGCAGCAGCCAGCTTTTGTTTTTTTGGTTTTTTTTTTTTTTTGGTTTTTCTTCGGTACCAGAAACCGAACTCACGACCTTGCACTTGCCAGGCAGGCGCTTTTGCCACTGAGCTAAATCCCTAGCCCTAGCAGCCAGCTGTTGATTGCATGTGCTGCTTGGAGAGGAGTATGGGGAAATACAGAGACGAAAATGTCCACCTTCATGCTGTGAAGTAAACAGGCAACTAGCCAAAGCTTATGGGGTCCTTCAAACTTGTGGTTGGGATCAGAGTGCCTCTCCCTTACTGACCAAGATGGAACGGAGTGAAAGTTTGTGACTAATGGATTCTCTGTGTTCTGGAGACTAGTTCAAGTTCAGCCAAATCTCTTAGATTCCTTTAAGCTCCAGTCTGGTTAAGCCCAGCAGGGAGCACCTACCCCACACCATGCAGAAATTCTGGGCTACCTCAGCAACACCTCCACCACCATTCCTTAGTCATCCCTGGACTTTGTTTTTTGTTTTTTTTTTTTCTGCCGGTACCAGGAATCGAACTCACAGCCTTGCATTTGCCAGGCAAGTGCTGTGCCGCTGAGCTAAATCCCCAGCCCCTCATCCCTGGACTTTGAACTCCAAGAATGCTTTAAATCCTGACACAGGAATTGGAATTAATTCTCAGTGAACTCAGTATAACTGAATGGGACACTATTTCACCAACGAGAAATCAGTGGGTATGGTATAGGGGACAGGAAATCATGAACTTTCAAATCAAATTCGTGTTCTCATACTCACTTATTGTACTCAGGAACTGCCGTGTGTTTTGAACCTGTGAAAGAAAGTAATATTGAGCTGAACTTTAGTACAGACTCTCCTTGAAATCATTTCCTATTTATTAGAGGTGGAAAAGAATTAGCACACTTTAAATAATTTTTTTATTTCCTATGTTCATTCACAAAGTCCTGGTCAACCTATCAAGCCAATGAACCAAAAAAGAAGGCTGGGGTGTAAGATATTAAATGACGCTGTTCCTTGGAGTGCCCTGTGTCACACTGCCCATGGCTTAGGTACACAGATCATAGGGCTAAGCCTCCGAAAACTAGATCCACAGCAATTACTAATCGGTTTTTATGCTACTCAGTGTGAGTGTCCAGATTTCGTCCAGGTAAATATCTAGTCGTCTCCTAAAACTACAATCAGTGCTACTTTCATATTAGTGTATATAAAGGCAATATTTATGGGAGAACTTTACTGGATTGCAGTTGTTTATTTGAATCTTTTTAAACAACAGTGATGACAGGTAGTGTGTGCGGGGCCAGCAATGCAAAGAGCGGGTTGGTGAGGAGGGACACTAGGGAAAGATTTGGAATAATGGAAATGCTTTATATCCTTTTCACAGTTAAATGTGCATACATTTGTCAAGAGTTATAACTATACAATTAGAATGGATGCACAAAAATATTCAGCAAAAATTTTGTAAAGAAGTACCAATGGAATTTACCTATTGTGAAAAGGCAGATAGAGTTTATAGGATCAGCACAGCAATCGGCCTGTAGTGTAGGCCCCACGACCTTTTAAAAAATTATTAGTAGCACATGATTGTAGCACATAACATTTACATTCCTCGTGGGGAAGAGTACGTACACATATTACATCTTGATTCCTTTTTTCATCCATTTTCCCTTTCTCCTTTCCCCCTCCACCCACCTCTTGATCTCCCTCTTTTTTCTTTTTTGTGCATGCTTTTTACACAAAATGTTGACCTTCCTTACTTGGAGTTGCTTCACAGTCTTACTGAAGTATATTTTATACAGTTGCTTCTTGACTTATGATAGAGTTACATCCAGATAAAGCCACTACAAATTGAACATATTGTGAACCAAAAATGCATCTAACTGACCAAACATCATAGCTTGACCTTGCTTACCTTAACCACTCTCAGAACATTTACATTAGCTACAATTGGGCAAAAATCATCTAACACAATGCTGTTTTATGATAAGGCATTCTTAACCCATGTAATTTACTAAATAATATATGAAAGTGAAAAACAGAGTGATTTTCTGAGTATACTTTCACACCATCACAAAGTGGAAAAATTGTAAGTCAAATCATCACAATGGAGGACTGCCTAAACATTGTAAAATTCTCTCACTGTAAGTGTACCAGCTTATGACTGTTGATGATTGCATATAGTTCTGCAACCATCGTCTCAATCCAGTTTAGGACACACTATCCTTCCAAAAAATCCCTCCATCTGGTCAATCCCTCCTCCCAATCTCTATGGTTTCACTTTTTCTAGAAATGACATATAAATTGAATTTTATATAACGTAAAACATGATCTCCCATGACAGGCTTCTTTCTTTTTTCTTTTTCCTCCATTTTGAACTCTTATGATGATGAAATTCAAGAGTGGTTGTGAGACCTGTCTGAGACCACATCAGTGCAGATGCGGAAAAGAACACATATTTGCTGATTCCCAGCCCAGGACTGTCCCAGAAAACCATGCCATTGTCGGGAAATAGTGAGCCAGAGCAAAAAAGAGCATGTTAGGGCATCAGAACTGCTCTTATTTCTAATTATGTAGTCTGGACAACCAACAACTTCCCTGAAGCTCAATTCTCCCCACCTAAAAAGGGGCCTTATTATTATTAATGCATAGTTCTGCTCTGAGGAATAAATTACACATACAAAGCGCATAGCACAGGGCTAAGCAAACACTAGCAATTTTGTAAATGATAGTAACTTTTGGTTGGAAAATAAAGCACATTTCATCAAGACGTAGGACGGAAAGAGGGAATGAAATATATGTTGGTGATTAAGATGAGGATTTAAACGTTAACTCACTTAAATTTTAAAATAAGAATGTGACTCATAGATATAAAACTGTACCAGCTACATGGGGAATGATTTGCTAAGTGTAGTTAAACTATAATTAATTAACTGAACATTGTTTTATTTTCTCAGTAAGGGAGAACACTATCTGTGCTTTTTTGTGTGCTTAATTTTATGCCTAACTCCATAGTTCTCAGTGGTGGCTGCATAGTAGAATCACCCGAGGAGTGTTAAAAATTACCAGTGCCTGGGCCCCAGCCCAGAAATTCTGATTTCATTGGTTTTCAGAGGTGCCTGGGCAAAAAAATTTTAAAGTTTCCCTTGGTGACAGTAATGTATGACCACTGTCAAGAAGCCGTGGCTGGATTCAGTTTTGGTTTGTTTCTTGGGCTGCGGGGAGCAATACCACAACTGTGGCCTAAACTGTTTTGACAGTGTGCCCCTTCTGTCCCCTCCGGCAGGGGCAGCCCTCAGAGCCTGACTGTCCCCACCTGGGTCATGCATCGTCTTGGCGCATTTTCCCAGCAGGGCTGAATGTTTGTGTAATCAAGCACGAGGGCTTCGCATGAATGACATTAGCTGCTTCTGCTTGGAGAAAGTCTGTCTCCACCTCCGCATCCCACGCTGCCTCTTCAGCCCTCGTTCAGAGCTGGATGTTGAGAGTCTGAAGCAATAAGTACATTTCTCATGAGTAACAGCGTCAAGAGGACAAATAAAATATGCATGGACTGGTGCTCTGACTTAAAAGTTCTAAAGACCCATGAAGCCTACACGGGTTCCCTATCCTCTTTGGTTTTCAAACATTTAATCTATAAAATTAATGGAATTTATTTTATGAACTATAAAGTATTGTCCAGTTACTATGACACTGTAATTCTCATCACTAATATTATAGTAAGCGAATTCTTTAAGTCTCACTGTCAGCTTTACTACTTGTACTTACAAACACCTAAAATGATGGTGTAGACCTGTTAAAATGATTGACACTTATACATAATGATATATTTCAACTTTGAACCGTATATTTAAATTACATTTCCTAAGAAATACAATGGCCTCATCTATACTTTCCAAAAGGAGCTGACAGCTGTTATCAAGGAATAGTTACATTAATAAGTTATTTTTCTTTACTGATAAGGTACTAAGAGAGTCTTATTTAATTGATTTGTTAATTGACCAAATGTTGCATTGCAAAATTATACTACAGTGTTAGTCATTACCTGGTGAAATGATTAGCTCCTCTGTGATATGCTCTGGCTTCCTGGGAAAATCTCTAATAAAGTCACGTAAGACGTGCCAAAAGAAAGTTCTTGCTATGGAATTAAAGGAAAGTTGTTTTAAAGAAAGGAAAACAACTCTAAATAGTAAAATAAATATTTTGCTCTGCCTGTGGGTGACCTTGCACTCAACCCCTTCCTTTATAAGAACTCTGTCTCCTAGCCTGTGGTTTTGTGGCATGTCAGTAATTCTGGAGTGTCTACCCATGGCCAGCTGTGGGCTCCTTCCCAGCCACACAAACCTGATGTTCTCCTCGTCTCCTACAAACACCCACAAACCCACTAGGTTCCTCGTTTCTTAAGATGGCTTCTCTTTAATGCCAATTTGTAACCATATAACAGGTCTTTGCCCCTGAAATACCTTTAATAAGGGCCCCTTCCTCATTTCTAAGGCATACTCTGGCAAACCAACCAGTCTTATAGAAGCTCTGCTTGCTCGTGGAGCTAAAATTGGAAAAGTGTGTGTCAATGGAATAATTTTTTTGAACTCATGGTGACTCCAGATGTATTGGTATTATCACTTGTAGAGGTCTGAGGATAGTAGTCATGCGTAACCAAAAGGTTAGAGCCTGCCTCAAGAAGGCAATGTAGTATAAATCTCCAGATATGCAAGATAAGTTCCATCTTTTTGTGTTTGCAGTTCACAACACAGAATTGTGCACTTAAAACTTTGTAAGAGTTAAAAAAAAACAAAAATATCATAAGGTGGGATATAATGCATTATGTCATTGTTGACGGTCTCTAGGATGTCCCAGTGGGATGTCACTGTCCCATCGCCCTGGAACTATCTGAAAGAAGCTGGGGGCTAACAGAAATCTGAGAGTAACTAAAACCAGCAGTGTGTGTTCCAGGAAGGGTCCTGTCTGGGGCCAAACTACTGTGTATTCTTGTGTGCGCTTGTGAAACCAGGTCTATCCTGCCTGACTGTCTTAGTCAATTTGGGCTACCATGACAAAATACTATTGGCTGTGCGGCTTAAACAGCAGAAGTTTATTTCTCACGGGCCTGGATGCAGGAAAGTCCAGGGTCAGAGAGCCAGCATGGTGAGTTCCTGGCTGTGCTCCTTTGCAGGCTGACAGACAGCCCCCACTTTGCTGTGCTCTCACATCTCCTTTGCATGGTTCCGGCGCAGAAAGCTTCCTCTTCCTCTCCTTGTAATACCACCGTCCTGTTGGATTAGGATCCCCCTCTTACGTCCTCATGTACCATTAATCATTGCCTAAAAGCCTTCTCCACACACATAGTCAGACTGGAGGTCTGAATTCTGTGAGAACACACATTCAGTCCACAGCAATGAGACTTCCATCCACATAAAATAGCCTTAAGTTCAGAAATCAGTTTTACTCTTCCGAGCAATACGTGTTTAGAACATATTTTATAAATACCATTCTTTTGATAAAAGACTGCTTTATTCAAAATTACTTTTAAAAAGATACCCAGTATGTATTATAAACAAAAGAGAAAGCTGGGATGTGAGGTGGTAATATGTGTTCAGCCTACGTGGGGATGAACAGTTGCCCCTGCCCCAAGTCAGCTTCGAGCAGACAGAGAGATGCCAAGGAGCTGCCATGCTGCGCAATTGGTTTAAGCACACAGCATCCCCTCAGAAACATCTTTGCTGTCAAACAGAGTATGTAAGAGCTGCCGTACCTTAGGGTTACCTTGGAAGAGAATAGGGTCAAACATGACCTTGGATGCAATAAGAGAATCAACTAGAGGGTGTCTCACCCTAAGCCGTCGGAAGGCTTCTCAGGGAGATGTAACCAACTGGTCTTGCCAGTTACAGGCTTCTTGAAAATGTATTCCCTTTAATATTTTCCTGATAAAATCAAGACTCCTGCAAAACCGGAAGCTTCACCTCATTAGGGAGCTTTTTGAGACGTGGCATCTGCATGGAACACGACATAGTCATGACTACAGGAAAGGCTCAGCCACTTCATCTTGTTGTGAAAGAAATATACTGGACTTGAGTCAGGACAACTCTGGTCTCGTTCATGTTTTGCAACCAATTAGCCCTGCTGGAATAGTGACCTCGTTTTCCAATCAGTAAATGAAAGGGTGGATTAGGGCCGTGAGTCTCAAACTTCAGTGTGTATAAGAATTCGTTGGGCAATGTACCCACAATGGAGTTTTTCTGACCTGTAGCGCTCAGAAAACGTATTCTGATTCACTTGTTCTGAGGCAAGACCCTGGAGTTTTCCTGATTTACTGGAGTCCTGATTGTCATGCAGCCGGTCAACAAGCACACATGCACATTACATCTTGAAAGTCCTTTTGCTTTTTAGATTCTGTAATTTTATGGTTTAATGTTCTCCCATCCTACTATCCTGGACTATCTGTAGCAGAAGTTTTAAAAACAAGCATCTTTGCTCATGGTAAGCAGGCTGGGCCATGCCGTGTGATAACATCTGTGAGACAGAGCGGAAACAATGATGACAAAGCAGTATTCGTTTTTATGAACTGACCTTCATCCTGTCTAGGTTGGTCATCTTCTACCTCCAGAGGATGTTTTCAAAAATGTCCCAAGGAAAGAAAACTGCTTGGAATGTTCTCCCAGAACTCTCTCCTTTCTTTTTATCTGACTCTTTCACCGACGCTGTTTCTATGAGGCCTCAGAACCTGAATTCCAGTATTCAGATAAAAACAAACACAAAAAGGCACTGAAGCAAACCAACCAAAAGCTGGGGTTTTCCTGGTATCTCGTAGGTCCAGATCCATTTCCAGGGCAGTTGCTGTGCTTTAGACAAGAAAGAATTTCGAAAACAGAAGCACTGTACCCTCTCCTAGGATGTTCCTGGTCGTTTCCAGCATCTCTGGGGTCACTGCTTGTTTTTAGCTGAAGTGAGTAGAGCTCAAGACAGCCTCCCTGCAGGCGGGGTTCTGCACACGGGTTGGGTGTTTAGGGACCGCTGCAGCGAGCATGAAAGTTGGTACTTCGTAAAGACAGTACTCTGAGAAGGAGAGTGACGAAGGACAGCGGACTCTTGATTTCTGAGTTATTTCATGAAGCTCACGTATATCTGACCACCCAGTGGAAGGACAAATAAATTGCTTTTTCACAGATGAGAGCACAGCTTTTTTCACAGATGAGATTTTTTTCTGGAGAAAGTTAACAGCTATAGTTTGGGGTCAGACAAATTAATTTTTACATTTTTCTGTTTATTTTTAACTCTTCTACCAACAGCTTAGCGAGAACAGAGAGAGAGAGAGAACAGTGGGACAGTCACAAACCAGAGGCAACAGACGTGGTCCTAGAGAGGAGTTTGGGGGAAGCCATTACAAAAACCTGCAGAATGTCTCCAATAGACTTGTCACACTGCTTTGTGATCCTGGCATACCTATTCTTCAGAAGATTAGAAGCTCCTCTCACAGAGAGATCAAGCCTTCAACTGTTTTCTAAATCTAGCAGCACACCTTAGCATATACTTGTTGTTTGTAGACTGTTTCAGTGAAAGGACTCTAGTAAATGGAAACTTCCCATTCAAGTATGTTAAAAAGTATACAGGACCAGGTGTGGTGATGCACACCTGTAATCCCAGCGCTAGGGAGGCTGAGGCAGGAGAATCATTGCAAATTTAAAGCCAGCCTGGGCTACAAAGTGAGCTCAAGGGCTTTAGGGAGATGTTGGTCAAAGGATCCAAATTTTCAGATAAGAGGAAAAAGCTCGAGCGATACATCATATAACACGGTACCTATAGTTAACAGTAATGTATTATATTCTTGAAAATAACTGAGAATAGATTTTAAGTGTTTGCACCACAAAAGCAGCAAATATATCAGGCAATGCATAAGTTGATCAGCTTGGTTAGTCCATTCTACTATGTGTTTGTATTTCAAAACACCGCTTTAGGGACC